AACCAAACCCAAACAAATTAAAACGAACAGATTAGTTCAAGCACTTCCTAGTAGGAATTGACTTCACTATTCCTTAATGTAGTAGGATTCCTAACTTAGGAAGGAATAAACAAAATTGCTATCTCCTTGTTTGAATAGAACTCAAAGAGAATTTCCAACTCCTTATTGGAGTAGGATTCCTTCTTCTTTAAGGATTTGGCCACAGATTTCTTCTCTATATAAGGAGTTCCAACCACAGAATTGTGTTGCTTGTTTCTCTCTCCTATTTTTTTTTTCGTTTTTTTTCTTCTTTTTTTTTGGCGATTCTTCCTTCTGTTTTTTTTTTCTACGACTTCTGTCCTCTCTTTTTTTTTTGTGCTTTTCTCTCTATGATTTTTTTTTTTTTTTCAGAACCAGCAACACAGATTCAACAGAACAAGACAAAAAGAGTTGCAGACAAGAAAGAAAAGAACCCTAATTTTTTTTTATGAAAAAACTGAAAACTAAAGATACGCAAACCTGATTTAAGGATCTGATGCTCTGATACCAAGATGATGAGAACCCCAAAGAGAACAATGAGACCCACAGCACGACAAGAAATTTCTAAACTCCAGGAAAGCTAAATCAGATTTAGGATAGGACCTTAACCCGTTGTTTATGTCGCAACAAGAACCAAAGGTAAAAACCTTGACCCGTCGTCTATGACGCAACAAGAACCAGAGGTATAAATTTGGTTGACGCCACACCCTTGAACAATCAAGAACGAGAATGATAAGTCAGGTTAGAATGCCACAAGAATAATCTTGATAAGTTCTGTAAAGTTCTGAAATGAACCAAAGAGAAAAGTCTCTCAAAATCTCAGATTCAATCGCCTCCTCCCCATTAGGGTTACAAGCCTTTTAAATAGAGAAAACAAATCCCAAGCAGAATAGGAAATTAACACCCTAAGTCCTAAACCTAATAACCACAAATTGGGCTTCAAATAAGCGAATGTTCAGCCCAAAAATAATACAAAAAACGTGAAAATCACAAAAATAACCTAAAATAACACGAAACATCAGTTTGCTACAAATTGTGGCAGAACTGTGCGATTTTGACGCAAATTGTCATTCTGTGCAAATGACCTCGACTAAGCTTCTCTTGAACCTGAATGATGTTTACCATGCCTTGATAATCATCCAAGCTTCGATTTGCTTGTTGTATGTTGTTTTCAACCCAGATCTGCTCAATAAAGGCCATTTAATGCTTCACGCATCTTCTTAGCTCTAGCTTGCGTGACTGGACCTCCTTGGGTGTGTAATGGATCACATGAGGCAGTAGATATGCTGTCATCTTCATTCCCATCAAAATCGGGGGTCCGTACAATAGTTTAAGGACCAAATCAGGGATTTCTTTAGTTCAGGGACCAAATTGGGGGTCTGTACAATAGTTCAGGGACCAAAATGGGGATTTAACCTTTTGAATTTGGTACTTAGCTATAGCCTCCTTAAACTGTGCTACATGCTCAAACCTCATCCCCTACCTCAAACCAAACAGTAGTCCATGAAGGTTTAAACCATAAATCACTACTTCTAGTAGTTCTTACATCTTCTTCTTCTTCTTCTTCTTCAAGTTCATGTTCATCTGCAACATTGTACTCACCTGAATCATCACTAGAAACTTCAAATTCATCTTCACTATTTTCAAAGCTAGAATCGGAACCCAAATCTCCATGGTCATCAGTTCCTATAGGAACCCTTTCACCCTCTTCATTAACTGTGGTAGCAAAGTCATGGACTATGTCACTTGGTCCAGCACCATTTGCATTTTGTCTTGCAATTGCACTGGCTTTATGTTTCTTTTTATTGCGAATAGATTCAAGCACCTCCTCATCATCTACATCACTAGGCACAATATCAAGCAAATCCTCATCATCATGATCATTGTTCCGTACATCTTCTTGTTGGGCTGCATCACCTCCATGCAGTGCATCTGTTTCATCAGCATCACCTTCAGCTGCTGTTTCTGGAGCTTCATGAAAATTTGGGGCTGGTTGTGAATTTTGTGTCACACAACCTTCCCCACTATCCTCATCATCTACATTATTATGCACAATATCAGGCAATTCCTCATCATCATGATCATTGTTCTGTAGATCTTCTTATTGGGCTGCATCACCTCCATGCAGTGCATCTGTTTCATCAGCATCACCTTCAACTGCTGTTTCTGGAGCTTCATGAAAATTTGGGGCTGGTTGTGAATTTTGTGTCACACAACCTTCCCCATTGTCCATTGTACCTTCATCGACTGGTTCTTGCAGAACAGTGCCACCTTCAAGCAAATCTAAAATATTTGGCTCATCACAGACATGCTCAACATACACATCTATAATTCCCCTTTCATTTAAAAGGTACTGCATGTGAATAAGCCCCTGCTTACTATTTATATAACCTTTACTGCTTCACCAAATTTTTCCACATAAGGATCTTTGTAATATATGTCCTTAAAATACATATATTCGAGGCCTTTTACCCTCTCCTCTAAATACGACAAAGTCACACGATGATATTCAATATCCTCATCAGTACTTCGCCTGCAGCATACCTAAGATCCGTATTACTACTCATGCAAAAAGTGCCACTATGGTGAATTCTTAATGTCCCCATTGCTGTCATATGGGAAGAAAAAGATATAAATTAATATAAATTAACACACATTTAAGCATTAAATCTATAAATCAAGTTATTGATTACAAATTTGTAGATTTAGAAATAACTAATTTACAGTAATAGCATAAATCCTAAACTAAAATTTCTTCAATACTTGTACAATCATGATTGAAATTGAATTCAACACTAACAAAAAAAGCAAAAGAAAACAGAAAAGTATAACTTTTCAGTTTAATTACTAAGTAAATTACATGAACCCTAAAACCCTAAAAAGTGATAAACACTGCTTAAATTTATTTTAATCCTAAATAAACCCTAAATCTTAATTAAATATCACTTCTAACACAAATCCATGACCCGTATGCTAAATATCAGTAAAAGTTAAACAAGATTTTGTTAGAATAAAAGGAAAAATACCTGTCAATGGCACCAAGAACAGTGTCAGAATTCCCTGTGCTTTGTGGTCCCTTTCGAATATTCTATTCTATTCCTTTAATGGAGATTCGTTCGGTTGGTGGGTGGAGTAAAGTTGTTTCCTTTTGTGGTCCTTTTCTAGGTTGTGGGGTTAATAGAAGCTTTTCTTTGTTCTTGATCACAATGCTTGGAGTCGGACGGTTTCTTGGCATTCATCTGTCTTTTTTTTTTTTCAAACCTTTAGTTAGAGGTGGGGCCCACAAATAAAATTGGTAGCAGGTAGACTTCCCACTCATGGGGGTCCAAGTTGGCATGGCAAGTTGTCAAAAAAGTCTGAGTTGGCACTGACATGTGCATGCTTGATGGAGGCCAACGGTGCACGTGCTACACGTGACACTCCGGCGTTAAATTTTGCCTCATTTCCTCAAACTCAAAAATATGGAGGGTAATAATCCATGTATTGTAATATGGAGGGTAAAACGCCTCAAATTCGAAAAGTTAAAGCGCAAATGGGTACCTTTTGCCGAACATCTTTCACACTAGGTGCTATGTCAAAGATAAGGTATGCAGTGCGATTATTGATGGTGGTACTTGTAACAACGTTGCTAACACAACCATGGTGGAAAAATTAGGATTGCCCATGCTGGGACACCCTAGTCCGTACAAGTTGCAATGGTTGAATGATAGCAGTGAGGTAAAGGTAAACAAACAGGTGTTAGTTGCATTTCAGATCGGAAAATACGAAGATGAGGTACTTTGCGATGTCATTCCAATGTATGCTGGGCAGTTGTTGTTAGGGCGACCATGGCAGTTTGATCGACGAGCCAAGCATGATGGGTTTACCAACAAATACTCTTTTGTACTCAATCAGCGTCCAATCACTCTTGTACCTTTGACAGCCCAACAGGTGTATGAGGATCAAGTGAGGCTTAAAAAGGAGAAAGATCAAAAAGAAGAGAATCAGCAAAAAAGAGAGAGTGAGAGAAAAGATAGAAGTGGAAATTCGAGAGAAAAAGAGAGAGAGGCCAAAAAAATTGAGACAGAGAAAAAAGAAAGCAGATTCAGCTTTAGTGAGTTTAAGAGAGGATCAACATTGTTTCATTGCAAAAAAAAAGTGGGATTAAGAGAGCTTTACATTTACAACAGCCCCTTATAGTACTTCTGTACAAAGAGGCATTTTTGTGCAGTGATGATCTTGCCGGAAATTTGCCAAGTAGTGTTATCTCTCTTTTGCAGGATTACGAAGATGTATTTCTTGAAGAAATGCCACCTGGATTACCATTGAACATCAAATTGATTTTGTACCTGTTGCGACAATTCCAAACAGACCAGCCTATAGGAGCAACCCTGAGGAGACAAAGGAGCTTCAGAGGCAGGTAAGTGAATTAATGGAGAAAGGGTACCTGAGGGAAAGCACGAGCCCATGTGCTGTTCCTGTTCTACTTGTGCCTAAGAAAGATGGGACTTGGAGGATGTGCGTTGATTGCCAAGCCATCAACAGCATTACGGTAAAGTATCGACATCCTATTCCTCGCACATGTTAGATGAGTTGCATGGTGCTTGTGTATTTTTGAAAATTGATTTGAAAAGTGGGTATTATCAAATTTGCATGAAGAGGGAGATGAATGGAAAACAGCCTTTAAGACAAAACATGGATTGTATGAGTGGTTAGTCATGCCTTTTGGTTTAACTAATGCACCAAGCACATTTATGAGATTGATGAATCATATTTTGTGTGCATTCATAGCCAGGTTTGTTGTTTGTTTATTTTGATGATATTCTCATATGTAGCTAAAACTTGGGAAGATTGTTTGCCACATGTTGAATTTGCTTATAATCATACTGTTCATTCTGCTACTAAATTTTCACCCTTTGAAATTGTGTATGGGTTTAATATGTTAACTCCATTGGATTTATCTCCTTTACCGATGTCTGAGCATGTTAATTTAGATGGCAAAAAGAAAGCTGAGTTTGTGAGGCAGATTCATGAGAAGGCAAGACTCAACATTGAGCGAAGAACAGAGCAATATGCAAAGCAAGCCAGTAAGGGGCATTCTAAGCTGGTCTTCAAACTTGGAGATTGGGTTTGGTTGCAGATGAGGAAAGAAAGATTCCCAGCACAAAGGCATTCCAAATTGCTTCCAAGAGGAGATGGTCCTTTCCAAGTCTTAGAGCGCATCAACAATAATGCTTACAAACTAGATTTTCTAGGTGAGTGCAATGTTAGTGCCACTTTCAATGTTACTGATTTGAGTCCTTTCGATGTAGTAGACAATTTGACGACAAATCCTTTTCAAGAGGAGGGAAATGATGTAAATCCAAGTTTGACTTTAAAGGATTCAATTCAAGTTCCCATTGGACCAGTTACGAGGGCTCGAGCTTAGAAGTTCAAGGAAGCGCTTAATGGGCTGATTTGAGAAATATGGACTCAAGCAAATTCGTGGAGGCCCATTGAGGGAGTCCATGTGAGCCTCAGAATTACATCAGCCTAATCCAAGTTCTAGAAGACTCTATCAAAGCCAAGCCTAATCTTTGCAAGTAATGGTCATGAACTTTGGGCATGAACTCAGCAAGCATTCTGGCTCAAATTTATTACTTTCCTTTTTGGGTTTTGGCTTGCATGCCAAGTTTTTCTTTCTTGGGTTGAATTACACAGTTAGTGTCAAATCTGCCGTAATTGGTCCCTGAACTATTGTACGGACCCCTGATTTGGTCCCTGAACTAAAGAAATCCTTGATTTGGTCCTTAAACTATTGTACGGACCCTCGATTTGGTCCCCACTATTTATAATTTGGCCTAAGTTGGTCCTTGAACTATTGTACAGACCCCCAATTTGGTCCTTACTGTTTACAATTTCGCCCCAATTTGGTCCATGAGCTATTATTTAACAAAAGGACCAAGTTGGGGTTAAATTGGTAAACAGTAGGGACCAAATTGGGCATCCGTACAATAGTTTAGGGACTAACTCAGGAGTCCGTACAATAGTTTAGGGACCAACTCAGGGGTCCGTACAATAGTTCAAGGACCAAATTAGGGATTTCTTTAGTTCAGGGACCAAAATAGGGGTTTAACCTATTTTTTACGTTTGTTATGAGTAAGGCCCTGCAATCACTGATAAAGATCACGGTAGTAGTGACTAGGGACAAATCGTTTTCTCATCACAGCTTTCCTCTCTTCCCAAGTGTCAACATGATGGGAATCAAGATGACCCCACATGTACCACGTCGAGATCCCATTACACTTTCCAGGAGGTCCAGTCACGAGAGTTAGAGCTAGGAAGATTTGAGAAGCTTTAAATGGCCTTATTGAGCAGATCTGGGTTGTTAACAACATGCAACAAGTAAATCAAAGCTTGGATGATTATCAAGGCATGGTAAACATCATTCAGATTCAAGAGAAGCTTAATTGAGGTCATTTATGCTAAACTACATAGTTTGCGTCAAAATCCTGCAATTCTGTTGCAATTTGTAACAAACTAATATTTCATGTTACTTTAGGTTACTTTCAGTGATTTCACGTTTTTTGTATTATTTTGGGCTGAACATTCATTTATTTGAGGCCCAATTCGTGGTTATTAGGATTAGGGCTTTGGGTGTTAGTTTCCTATTCTGATTAGAATTACTTTTCCCTATTTACAGCTTCTCGCATCTTCTTAGCTCTAGCTCTTGTGACTGGACCTCCTGAAATATGTAATGGATCTCTTGACGTGGTACCTGTGGGGTCATCTTGATTCCCATCATTGGGGT